TAAATTTTGTACTGATACATAATAGCTGTACATATTTTTGCAGTACATGTGATAATTTGATATATTTGTATAATCAAATCAGGGACACTGGGATATTTATCCCCTTATTTATCTTTTCTTTATGCTAGGAATAAATATAAATTAGTCTCTTCTAGCTATTTTGAAATATACAATCGATTAATGTTGACTAGAGTCACCATACTGATCTATCAAATACCAGGTCTTAAGAAACGGTATTTTAATGTTATCAAAGGTGAACTCAAGATACTGTGGGTTTTATTTTTTTCTGAGGTACGGAAATGACAGATTTCAGCTTGTTTCTTACAATAGTGATGATAATAATTTGAGAAATGGCAAACATTAAGCACTACTTGTGCCATGCATTATTTTAAGTGTTTTTAAAGTAACTTAATCTTCATAATCATACTATTTCCCCCTCTTTGGGATGAACAAATTAGGGTATCGTAACATGAAGAAACGTGCCCAAGAATACATTCCAAGGAGGTGGCAGACCCAGTAATTAAGCCAGGCCACCCAGATCCCAGGCCACACTGGTGAACCACCACCAAACTAGTTCCCATGACTGTCACTCATCTGCAACCGCCACATGCACATAGTCTATCTGCAATTTAGTCTTCAAGAAATTGTCTTCTGCTGTGTCTAGGGAAGTGCCAAGTTAAACAAAAGGGCTCAAGTTGTGCTAAAAGGACAGGTAATAACATGAGTCTCAATTTATGAAAGTAACTGTCTATTCCTAATGAGTGGTTACTTTTCACAACTGCTCACTCTGTGATCTAGTCCTTTCCCATTTTCTTGCCTCCTTTGCCCTATTGCTGCCACACGAGTAGCTTGGCAGTCCAGTTGTATCACATCTTGGCGCCACTGCTCATACTGCTTCATCTTCTCTGAATGCTCTTTCTCCCTGGTCAGCTGCAACATCTGCTCAACTCTTGTTTTCCTTGACTTAACACATTAACCACAATGTGAGTTGTGTTTAACTCATGCTGGTTTAGGGCCCAGGGCCTCGTGAAGCATATGTAACTCACATGTCTCACAGGAGATGCAAGAACTATTTTTCAAGTTGCATATAACTGACGCACAGAAAACAATAAAAAACAAATTCTTCATTAAATTAGAAAGGACCATCTTGATTTCAGAGTTTTTATTCTGTTTTCATAATAAAATACCGTGGCCCCAAGGAAAAAAAAAATTTTCTAGTATGGCAGTCAATGTGTTAATCTACCCATCATCTCCTCTGGAAAGCATTTTCTGCCTCCTTCTATGAAGCAGTGATCAGTTGCCTTCCTCTGGCCTCTCCTCTGCGTGGATCTCTCAGGTAACTTTCCCATGCTTTTGTGTTTAACAGTTAACATGCCTGACTCCATTCATCCATATGGCCTACACCTAGCACAATATGCTCCTCATAGTAGCAATTCAAAAACATTTGGTACTCAACATACCACTGCTGTCAAACATAAAACAATACTGAAGAATATGCTGTAACAAATTTCATATTGAAAATAACCATCTTAAAGCTTTACACATTGGAGAAAGGAGATTTAGCCATTTCTTTTGTTGCGTATCTCCCAGTATTCTGGTAACCTAGCAGATTACCAGATAAGGACTGGTCTCTTGGCATTGCGGTATAGAGTAAGGGAACTGTAAGGCTGGTGGCAGGCACACCCCCAATCCCTAAAGCTGTAAAAGAAGCAGCAGCTGACTGTGCCCGCCGAAAATAACTAAACGCAGACGATAAGCCTGATGCAGGCAGTTTGGGTTCCCGGGACTGAACAGCAGACTCCATTTCTCGGAACCCGCCAAAACCCTCAGTGGAAAATCCCCAAATCCGCTTCAGGCAGCATAAAAAGCCCTAGCCCCCTCCAAACGGGCGCGACTTCCCTGGCCCCCTCTCTCGGGACCAGTGAACCTCGTCCGGGAGTGCTCTCTTTCCCCTTCTCCCAATAAAACCTCATTACTTGCCCTTTTCACTCTGCTCGTCTTTCTTTCTCTGCCGCCGCCCATCCAAAAACCTTACAGAAACTAAGAAACTACTGTGTGAGCACTTATTGATCTTGGCTTCCTTAACTGGAAAGAATGAAAAGACCTAAAATAGGTAGAAGAGACCACACACAACAGAAGATTGTGGGTTTTGTCCAAAACAAGCAGTGCCCCCTTCTAGAGGCATGCAACTGGTCCCGAAAGTTGACGTCTTCCCTCCCTGCTATCTTGTATCGTTTGGCAACTACTCTGAGATGGCAGGCCTCCCATGTGCAGCACTGTCTGCTTACAAAACCTCCTCAGGAGTGAGTTGCTCCAAAAATGAAATGCTTATATCATCCATGAATTCTCACTGCCTAGCATAGTGAGTTCTCATTTTCACTTTCTCTAGGTTTCATACCTGTCTCAATTTTACCTTTCAACTTTTACCTTGTTTTTCTGTCTCTTCATTTTCAGTTTTGTTACCTTCTCTGTTGCACCCTATTCATTTTATTTATCTATTTTCCTCTATTTCAAATAGCTTTCTCAGCCTTCTTCAACTTTTAGTTTTAAGCCTATTCTAAACATTATTATTGTTTTAAAAAAATCCTTTTGTTTTCTTCTTACCACCACTGCTCCCTACCCCTCTCACTCCTCTTCAAAATGAACTTTTTAGTGATCAGTAAGATGCAAGACTGGAGTCCTGGGAGCCCTGGAGAGTCTACACAGACAGGGAAGACAGATACTTTCTGACCCTCAGCTGCCCCTGCCCTAGCTTTTTCTGGGTATCACAGAAAGGCCATTCTAAGCACTGCTCTTTAAAGAACCTTCCTCCTGGATGCAGGAGGAATTTTTTCTTAGGCTCTAAGACCCAGCCAAATATTATATTTAATTTTCTGGTACTTAACAGATGTTGATACTGAGTCAGTCTTGATACTGAGGCAAAAAATTGGGCACCTGGAACACAGGTGTGACAAGACAGACAAGACTTGTCCATTCTGATGGGAAGAGAGAGGGAACAGAAAAAATAGTTTTAGAGAGGTGATTAAAAGTTGGGGGGAGTTGGGAGGGGGCGTATGTATCTACCTGAGATAGAGTGGTCAGAGAAGGTCTCTCAGGGAGTAACATTCTAGCTGAGTGTGCAGGCTAAGAAAGAGCCAATCATACGGTGAGTCAGGAGAAGAATGCTCCAAGACCGACGACACAGCGAGAGCAGATGCCGCAAAGCAGCAGTTTGACCTGTGTGATAAGCAGAAAAACTCTTCCCTGCCTCCAGTCATTTGTTAAATGCTGTCAGAGAATCATGCTGCTTTCCTCCAGAGCACTTCTCTTGATTTATAATAGCACTGTTTATAATAGTATTGCTTTGAATTTTTTAAAAAGAATTATGTTTACGATTAACATCCCATTAAATTTTAGCAAATATTTATTGATTACTTATATTACTGGCACTGGGGACATAACAATGAACAAAGCAAAGTCCTTGCTTATATTCCTGCATGTACGTATGTGTAAACCCAGTAAACTAAGAATCATGGAGACAGGAATGGTTCGTGATTGCCTACCAGTGTATCACCATGACCAGCACAGAACCTGGCATGTATGAGATAAATATTTGTTGAATGAATGCTGCCAAGAAAAGAAATGCAGCATACAAACTGTATATGTAATAGGATCCTAAATATAATTTGAGCATAGAAACATATGAAGTGCACATCAAGTCAGAAGGCAACATATCATAACATTACAAATGGTTGTCCTTTGTGTTTTATACAGGCATGTACTTTTTGTAGCATGTATTTTTTAAAAGTATTTATTCCATTCAATGGAACACAAAACTTTAGTGAGATGGGTGTTCAGCTTTAGTTTATGAGCTGTAGGGGAAAACCAGATTAACATTATTTATTGTTTTTTCTTCTGATACTAATTTCTCACTAGCTTTGCTTACCAATGTTTTTCAGGTTGCCTCACATCTCCTCTCAAATATGACCCACACTGATGAAAAGAAGGAAAACAACACCAAAAAGCCATTAGGTAATAGAATCAGATACTGTCTATATTGGTTGGAAACGGGAAGATGACTAGAGGAGGAGAAGGGAGAGGAGGAGGAGGAGGAGAAGAAAGATAATAGCAGCCACTTGTAAACCAAGACCAAATAGGAGACTGTTCACTTAAGGTACAAAAAGCATGGCGCGCGCTTCCCATCCCTCTAACTCCAGGCACCAAGAGCCTGCTCCCAGCCCGAGTGCAATAAGCCCAACATGCCCTCCCCAGACACAGCTCGCGCGCACCCCGCACAAAGCACACAATGAGCGTCCTCGCCCCACACTGGCTCCACAGGGCAGGCCTCCAGCGCACAGCACACTCGGAGCAACACCTGGCCAGTGTAGTATTGGCCAGCCCAACCCGCCAAAATGCAGCAGACGCACTCGCATCCCTAAACTCTGGGCCCTAAAGAACTAACATCGCTCACCAAGGCGCCACCTACCCCGCCCAGGAAACGCAGGGCACCTCTCACAGCCGGCACAGCACGGGCCCTAGCAACACTCCCGCACACCTGGGCACTCCAGAGCAAGCCCTCACCTGGGGCACCGGGTCCGCACTCCCCATCCCGACTTGGCTCAATCCCGAAAACTCTGCAGGGTTTTACTGAGGACACAGCGAGGCCCTGGGTAAACACCGGCCCCGCTCCATGAAGACCACCAAGCGCGTCTTCACCAAGGGCACGGCACGGTCCCCACACCCCCGCCTCACACACACACTCTCTCACACGCGCCCCGGAGAACCCTGGCCACGTACTCAACGCCCAGCCCCGCGCCTCCGGCCCGACCGGCCGAGCGAGGCTCCAGCCTCGCAGTGGGCGCGCGCTCGCTCTCCAGGGTCCTACCCGAGCACGTGGAAAGCAGCAACGCCAGGGCCACCAGAAGGATCCCTAGGAAGCTCCGGGAAGGGACGGGACGCTCGTGGCGGCGGGGAGGCGCTCTGCACGGCGCGCAGGACGCCGTCATTTTTGTGGAGATGAGCGGGAGACTTAGCGCCAGCCGAGCGGGCGGTCCCTCCTGAGTCCAGTTATCAGACGCAACAATCCCCGCACAAACAAAGTGTCAAGGGCCGCAAAACAGATGGGCGTGGCGTGCGCCGCGCCCGGGGCGGAAGTGAGTCGAGGCAGGAAGTGAGCCAATCAGCAGGCAGCAGGCCGGGGCCTCGGCGCCGGGCGGTCCGCGGGGCTGGAGGGGAGGGGTCCGGCCGGGCTCGGGTCGTCCGGCCGGGCTCGGGTCTACCGGCCAGGTTCCGTGGGCGCTGTCCGCTCCTCCCGGGGGCCGGACCGTCACTTGCTAGGTCCCCTACAGACCCACTCGGAAGTCCGCAGCGACTTGCGGGAGAGGGCTGGCTCCCCGCGGTGTTTGAAGCTCAAAGAATGAAAAGGAAACTGAGCTGGCACGGTCATCATTTCCGGAAACTCAGGATTAAATAACACAGGACATCGACCTAAAAATAGAGATCCAGAGCCCAGGCGGCGGGTCACCATGGGCCAGCACCCCTCAGGGTTCGTTTTATCCTGGGGTATTTCCAGGCCGTCCGGACTACCTGGGCTCTTAGTCGCTATTTGTCATTATTAGTCAGGCATTATTAGGGACTATATTTGAGTTTTCCTTGCTTACATGTCTGCTACTGAATTGTCTCAGGGCCCGCCAGTGTTCAAAATCTCAAAGATTTGGCCACTGCACTCCCAACCCCTCATGTCATTTGGTCTTCCCCCTACTCCCTTGAGAGGACCCATGGGGATGTAAATTATTAAGCAACACCGGGCCATTAGTATATAGGGACTCTATGGGGCCCTTGTCCTTGAGCAACTAAATGTTTTATTGAAGATAGAATATACAGTCATGAAAAACGTAAGGACAACGGTGTGCTAAGCTCCAAATTCCGGGAAACAATAAATTCCATAGGATCTGGAGTAGGTGGGAATTGGTTGGATAAGGGGGAGAACTTCTCTGGTGAAACAATCTCTGGAAGGTGCTGGAAAATTATAGTACAATGAGGAAGATTGATTTGTAGAGTTGTGAGTAATCCTGTGTGACTGGCAAAAGGGGAAAAGAAGAAGATGACTGGCATTAAAAGAGCAAACAGAGTTGACATTTTCTTCCTCTTAGATTGGCAAAAAATAAAAAAAAAATTATAGGGGAAAAGTTTAACAACTTTCAGTATGTTGAAAGGCTTAAAGTGGACATGACTTTTAGGTCACCAGTGCCACTTAGAGTTTATCCTAGAGAAATCATCAAAGCTGTGAGGAAAGATTTAAAATATTGGAAAATTCTAAACCCTAAGCGTCAAATAAAAGTATTAAGGAATTTGAGGTAGGTACCTTTATGTAATGGAACTCTATGCAGCAACCATTGAAAAAGATTATCAACATGAGAAACTGTAAGTGGAAAAAGCAGACTCCAAATCAGTATGTGCCTTTTGGCATTCCTTTTATTAAAACAAAAGTACCATATCGATGATACACATAAAAAAGAGACTAGTTGGAAATACAATGAAATTAACAATATCGTTGATAGTATTACAGATATTTCATTTTCTTTGTGCTTTGCAGTTTTCCGAGTTTTCTATATTAACCCTATGTCACATTTAGAATGAGGCAAAGAAAAAATTTTTAAAAATCCAACCTACATATCAAGGGCTGTTTTGTTCATAGAACGATGGGGGTAGAAACTTGTATTGCACAGGTTAAGGTATGAGAGGATGGTGAGGAAATGGAGGCTTACTGTATAAAGCTGAAATGTGTCTTCTGGAATTATAGAATTTATATGTATTTAATACAGCCCTATACCTGAGATAGTACTGAAAACTTACTGGGTTCATCAAACCATGGAATTTCCTCTTCCTGTCAGACCAACAAAATTTTAAAATTCTTGGCAGAGAATATAAAACTTGAAGTGTGGAGGAGGTATATCAAATAAACACCTTAGTATCTTGGATTATAAAGTCCAGATAGTCCATGATGGCAATTAAAAGAAGTATAATTAAGGAGATAGGAAACTCAGTGAGGGAGAATTATTATTTCTGTTAATGCTTATAGTTGTGAAGGAGTGATGTGAAATACATGTTCTGTGGCTCAATGTTGGCACTTCTTTGTGAAAACAATGTCTTGTTCTCTGCAAACATAAATATTAAAAATTCCCCATCTATTTCGAGGCTTGGAAGAAAGATTTCTTTTTGCTCATGAGAAAATTTAAAAGATAGGAGAAAAAATATGGCTAGTGTCTGGTTTCCTAGTTTCAAGTGCTGGATTAGATTCAAAGATTAGTATTTTATTGGAACTGTCTTTCAGTCCGTGGAATTTCTGTCCCTAGGGTTCATCAAGCCATTCTTAATATACTTGAAGACTTTGACGTTGAATTTTTTCAACTCATTTTGAGTTGACCCAACTGAGGCTCCATATGAAAGATTCTGAGCCTTGTTCTCTATTTTTCTAGACAAGTTCCACGAGGCAGGGATAGAGTTTTCTTACAGTATCTCCAGTGCCAAAATCTGTAGTAGGTGTACAATGAATACCTGGTAACTATTGTATGAAATAAATGGTTCTTGCTATCAAGTGCATTTAACATGTCTCCACCAATTCTCCCCCAGCATGAATGTACTAAATACTAGTAAAGTTCTGAGAGATTTTGATTTTAATAATTTTAAACACGAGGAAATAAAGCAGGATTTGTCTCTAAAAGGAATGAGCTACAACTGTCTGCATAGAAAACTATCCTAAGTCAGGCATTGCAAGCTTACTTGCGAAGAGCTGTTGTCTATCCCTTAGCCTTGAGATCATTTTAGTGACTGAGTTCAAAGGGAGAATGTTGACAGTGAACTTCCTGAGGCCCTAACAGGAGTAGAACTCAACAAATCAAGGTTTTGAATGAAGTAGGGGATTAGACACTAGTGGTTCCTCCAAATCCCCCTGAGGATTTTGTCAAATTGCCAAAGAGAAGCGAAGGACAGAATGGAGGATATGTGTGTTTGTGGACCAGGTTTAGAACTATGTGTAGATTTCCTTTAAGGCTTTATGAAGGGTAGTGGGGGTGGAGGTTGGCGTGTGGGGATGTCGTTTGAATCATGGCCAACTTCTTCGTTAAAATTTAATGTTAGATGATTCCTTGCCTCCTGAATTGGTATACCATATTTACATTATGCTTTTCAGAAGTGAGTGTAACAGCACAAACGGGCCTCTATTTGCACCTGGTAAGCACCTGCCAGCCAATTGACCCTCATGCTTAGCTATGTCTGATTCTCCTGCCTGTTAGAAGCAAGAGCATTAATGTTGCATGCCACACCCAACACAGGTATTCTGCAAACAATCAAGTACAGAGAGATTATTAATTTTGTCTCCTCTTGGTTTTTGAAGGCTTTTGAAAGGTAAATATTAATATATTACAAACCATATTCTATAATTAGATTTGCAGAGATACAGTCTTTTATTCATTTCTCATTATAATGGTAGAGATAGAAAATTTCATTTAAAGGTCTTAGACTTTAACTAACACCTCACACTTAAGTGCACAAAAAAAGCAAAATAAAACAAAGTTAGAATGTTAGCACGAGGAATAGCTTTGGAGAGCAATTGGTCCAGCCTCTGCTTTTCAGAAAAAATATAAGGCCAAAGATTAACAGAATTGCTTAATAATGCAAGTAAAGTTCGACAACATAGTATTTTACCCATAGCTAGTATGTATAGTATTTCCCATGATGACTGATATAACGGGGAAAAAAATCTCGTGGCTTTCTTGCAATTAAAAGGTCACAGGCATCAGATATTTAGTAATCATATTGCTCACTGACCTACTCCATTCTGGAAAAAAAAGAACATAGATTTTTTTCTTGTGATAGGGGATTTTAAATCTAAGAAAGGCCAATTCTCAAGCATTTATTTTCTAGTCCTCTTTTACAAGTTACTTCTTCAAAATCCAAAAAAATAAGAGATTTGCTAAAAGATCCAACTAGCAAAAATTCTATCATTGAGTATATTTTCATATATTCTTGGCTACTTGCCCTTCTTTCTTGGTGAGCTGGCTGTATATCATTTGCCTGTGTTTTGGAGGGAAGGGGGAGATTTGGTCTTTACATTTTTTGTTTGTTTGTTTGAGACAGGATCTCACTCTGTTGCCCAGGCTGGAGTGCAGTGATATGATCATAGCTCACTGAAGCCTAAAACTTCTGGGCTCAAGCGACTCTCCTGCCTCAGTGTCCTCAATAGCTAGGAATACAGGTGCACACCACAATGCCTGGCTAATTTTTTAAAAAATTTTTTGTAGAGATGGGTTCTTGCTGGGTTGCTGAGGCTGGTCTTGAACTCCTGGCCTCAAGCGATCCTCCCGGCTTGGCCTCCCAAAGTGCTGGGATTATAGGCTTGCCACCACACCTGGCCCAGGTCTTTGAATTTTTAAGAACTGTCTAAATAGTAAGGCAATTACCCTTTGTGATATAAGTTGCATTTTTTTCTTGCAGTTTGTCAGTTAACCTTTGCTTATGCTGGGTTTTTTTCTTTTCCTAATTTGCATGATTTTAAATTGAAATTCAAGTTGATATCTAGCTCATTCCTTATATTGCTGTCAAAATAAATGTTACAGAATCTACCTTTAAAGCAACTATTAAAACATAGAATTACGTAAAAATTAGCAGTAGTCATATACAAAGCTATTATTAAATATCCAGAAATATTCTGATATTTTCTAAAGATCATTAGTATATAATGATATATCATAACAAAATTTTGATCTGTAAAGATGTGGCCTAGGTAAAAGCTACAATGCCACTTATTTAAAAAGTGTCAGTACATGTCTATTATTTTGATAAATTCTTAAAAGTTGTGCTTTTTTAGTTAATTTAGTATATTCTGAATCCATACAAAAGTAAGCTAGTTACTTTTAAAATGACAATTATTCTTTTGTTTTAATTTTTAGCATTTTTTTATGCAAAATATAGTACAAAGTGCTTTTGAAAGAGAGCTTAGGAAATATCCAAAGCTTAATTTTTTTCTCTTGAGTCGTCTCAACCACTCCCCCCATCATCATTTAATGCCTTTTTGGTAAACAGAAATTACTTTTTTTTTCCCTAGAGAAAGTGAAAACTGATACAGCATATATCTTACTCCAATCTGTTTAAAATAAGTGGGTTCTGCTCTGTAAAATAAAAGGAAACTAAGAAAAAAGGAGAGATATACATATGTAAAGAAACATATATGAAAAAAGATTGGCAGAAAATGAATTAAATTATTAACAGTGGTTATCACTAGGTTGTATAATTATATGTAACATATTTATTTTTCATATCTTCCTGGATTTTCCAATTCTCCTTAATGAGCCCATCCCATATTATGAATATTTTAAAATAAGAAAAAATGACAAACTTATAAACCAGAAATCCTAGGCGACATTGTTTTCCTTTAAGTAATCCGAACGATTTTCTGTATCCTAACTGCAGCCTTTCTTCCGACTAGATGATGTGCAATTTTAGCCCAAGGACAGAGGGTGAGGGCGTCACGGGAAAGGAGACTAAAGAAGGAGAAGCTTTGCTAGATGCTGGGAGAGCTTCAGCATCTCCAGGCACACGTCATCTCTGTGAAGTCACTTCAGAGACTTTATGACTCTCGGATCTTTTTCTGTTGAAATGAATTGGCTCCTTTCCAACCAACATTTAATTCAAGGTGTTCTCGGCTTCGTAGCATGCTTTGTCAGGCAAGGACACTGAAATAGCAGGGTATGCTTATTTTTATAACAGCATGATCGCCACCTGAACTACTCAGAATTTATATGCTGATAATCATGATGCTAGCATGACATATAAATGACAAGGTTATTAGAAGTATTTATTGCCCTCCGTGGTGATTGCTATGTAGGGCACAAGAAAGTATGGCGTAAATTGAGACATTGAGTAGATAAGAGAGAGATTAATGAGTAACTTGACCTTTTCCTGTTTTCTTTTATCAAAGAAAAAAGCATTCTCAGCATTGAGCAACTAAATAAAACGAGCCTCGTTCCCAGAAAACATACAGGTCTCTCGTAACACAAAAAGATATTTTTTGAGTCTCTTCTGAACCAAGGTAGTGGCAGGGAGCAGAAATAGGAGCTGGTAGGTTTAGAGGAGGGTCAGCTTCAGAAAGCATGTCCTCTTCTAATTACAGTCAAGAATGAGCTAGGGTAGGGTACTCAGTATGAGATGCCTGACTGCTTCTCTGGCCACACTGGAGCCTCTCTTATTAAGGCCAGAATGGTGTCCTTCCACCAGTGAACAAACCCACCAGCTCACCTGACCTCCCCTTATGACAGCCGCCTGTTTCCTTATCATTATTCTCTATCTCACAAGACTTCCCGATATCACCTGTTACCTGCATCTCCTCTAAAAACTCTCACGTCCTTCCACACACAGCTGTGTGTGTATTTGCAGCCTGCCTCTTGAACTGTGTCACCGACTCCAGCCTGGCACCTGTTCCGGCTGCACAGGTCTTAGGCTTGGCACAGACTCTAACACATTCCTTATCTATATATTTTGCCACAAATGATTAACCTTGTTCCTGTTGAACACTGTGATAAAAATCGCAATCTTAAAAGGGAAATTTGAGACAAAATTATTAAGGACTTACTACTTTTCTATTAAAAGGTAATCAATAGTCAATGTACACAATTTGAAGTGTACTTTGATTTAAAACAATGTTTCCAAAAACTTGAGAATAAGTGAAATTTTGATAAATTCATTCTCAAGTATTTACTGAACATTTCTCACTTAAATTCACTATACTTAGAGGTTTTGGGAAATTTAAAAAAATGGTCTCTACTTACAAGAATTAATAATTTAGCATGGGAAAGAAAACACCTATAAGCACAACGTATGGTACGCTATAAGTGGTTAATGAATGAAGAATAAATGTCAAGTATTAATAGATGAATGCAATAGAGTTAATAGGCAAAAAAAACAACACATGAAATGTCAAATACTATGAGGTATGTTTATATACAGTTTTAACAATGGGAAAATTATTTGTGATTTGGTGAAAAAAAAGCAGGATTTAATAATGTACAATCAGTATAATCTCAAATGTAAAATAACATGCAAAGAAGCTTAAGAATGCAAACTACTGTGTGGAGGTTATTGCAGGTAATTTTTATATAT